AAGTAAAGAAGAAATAAATATTGAAGAAGAAGAAGGTTGTAAATGGATATAGAAATAAAGAAATGATATAAGTGAAAATAAAAAAGTGAAGAATGAAAGATAAGGAAGTAAGGAATTTAAGAAGAAATAAATATAGAAGAAGAAGAAGGTTGGAAATGAATATAGAAATAAACAAGTGAAGAAGTAGAAAAGTAAGGAATAGAGTTATAAGAGTGGAGAAGAAATGAGCAGAGAGGTAAATAAGAAAGTGAAGAATGAAAGATAAAGAAATAAGGAATTAATGAGGAAATAAATATAGAAGAAGAAGAAGGTTGGAAATGAATATAGAAATAAACAAGTGAAGAAGTAGAAAAGTAAGGAATAGAGTTATAAAAGTGGAGACGAAACGAGGAAAGAAATAAATAAGAAAGTAAAAATGAAAGATAAAGAAATAAGGAAGTAAAGAAGAAATAAATATTGAAGAAGAAGAAGGTTGTAAATGGATATAGAAATAAAGAAATGATATAAGTGAAAATAAAAAAGTGAAGAATGAAAGATAAGGAAGTAAGGAATTTAAGAAGAAATAAATATAGAAGAAGAAGAAGGTTGGAAATGAATATAGAAATAAACAAGTGAAGAAGTAGAAAAGTAAGGAATAGAGTTATAAAAGTGGAGACGAAACGAGGAAAGAAATAAATAAGAAAGTAAAAATGAAAGATAAAGAAATAAGGAAGTAAAGAAGAAATAAATATTGAAGAAGAAGAAGGTTGTAAATGGATATAGAAATAAAGAAATGATATAAGTGAAAATAAAAAAGTGAAGAATGAAAGATAAGGAAGTAAGGAATTTAAGAAGAAATAAATATAGAAGAAGAAGAAGGTTGGAAATGAATATAGAAATAAACAAGTGAAGAAGTAGAAAAGTAAGGAATAGAGTTATAAAAGTGGAGACGAAACGAGGAAAGAAATAAATAAGAAAGTAAAAATGAAAGATAAAGAAATAAGGAAGTAAAGAAGAAATAAATATTGAAGAAGAAGAAGGTTGTAAATGGATATAGAAATAAAGAAATGATATAAGTGAAAATAAAAAAGTGAAGAATGAAAGATAAGGAAGTAAGGAATTTAAGAAGAAATAAATATAGAAGAAGAAGAAGGTTGGAAATGAATATAGAAATAAACAAGTGAAGAAGTAGAAAAGTAAGGAATAGAGTTATAAGAGTGGAGAAGAAATGAGCAGAGAGGTAAATAAGAAAGTGAAGAATGAAAGATAAAGAAATAAGGAATTAATGAGGAAATAAATATAGAAGAAGAAGAAGGTTGGAAATGAATATAGAAATAAACAAGTGAAGAAGTAGAAAAGTAAGGAATAGAGTTATAAAAGTGGAGACGAAACGAGGAAAGAAATAAATAAGAAAGTAAAAATGAAAGATAAAGAAATAAGGAAGTAAAGAAGAAATAAATATTGAAGAAGAAGAAGGTTGTAAATGGATATAGAAATAAAGAAATGATATAAGTGAAAATAAAAAAGTGAAGAATGAAAGATAAGGAAGTAAGGAATTTAAGAAGAAATAAATATAGAAGAAGAAGAAGGTTGGAAATGAATATAGAAATAAACAAGTGAAGAAGTAGAAAAGTAAGGAATAGAGTTATAAAAGTGGAGACGAAACGAGGAAAGAAATAAATAAGAAAGTAAAAATGAAAGATAAAGAAATAAGGAAGTAAAGAAGAAATAAATATTGAAGAAGAAGAAGGTTGTAAATGGATATAGAAATAAAGAAATGATATAAGTGAAAATAAAAAAGTGAAGAATGAAAGATAAGGAAGTAAGGAATTTAAGAAGAAATAAATATAGAAGAAGAAGAAGGTTGGAAATGAATATAGAAATAAACAAGTGAAGAAGTAGAAAAGTAAGGAATAGAGTTATAAAAGTGGAGACGAAACGAGGAAAGAAATAAATAAGAAAGTAAAAATGAAAGATAAAGAAATAAGGAAGTAAAGAAGAAATAAATATTGAAGAAGAAGAAGGTTGTAAATGGATATAGAAATAAAGAAATGATATAAGTGAAAATAAAAAAGTGAAGAATGAAAGATAAGGAAGTAAGGAATTTAAGAAGAAATAAATATAGAAGAAGAAGAAGGTTGGAAATGAATATAGAAATAAACAAGTGAAGAAGTAGAAAAGTAAGGAATAGAGTTATAAGAGTGGAGAAGAAATGAGCAGAGAGGTAAATAAGAAAGTGAAGAATGAAAGATAAAGAAATAAGGAATTAATGAGGAAATAAATATAGAAGAAGAATAAGGTTGCAAATGGATATGAGGGGTATTTCCAAGAGACCAGTATAGGAGACCGGCTCGAGGAAGAATGAGCGCTGCGAGTCCGGGCTCTGCCTCGAGCGCTCCCCCCACTCTCCGCCTTCTCCCACTCCCACGCACGACGAATTTGCGCCCACGCAATTTTGAGCGTCTTCCAGTACTTCTAAAGATGCTTGGCCAGAATTTCCGATTTCTAAGTGTTAATATTTTACTTTATTCATTTTGTTAATTATTTTAATGTTCCTAACACCTAATTTATTAATATTTCAATTTGAACGTAATTTACTTTCGATATTCTACAATTTCAATTCAATCTTTGACTACTTCGTATATTCTGCGAGATTTTGATATAGCCTTAATTTTATATTTTGAATAAATTTTGAAAGTAAATCAAGATCCAATAATATTTAGTTAAAATTGAGGTGCTACGCGGGTGTCAAGTTGGCACTGCACTTTCTTAAGAATGCCTTTAAAATATTTCAACAATGGGCTTTTTCAATAGTTCTTTAGAAGTTCTATAGTGCCCGGTCTCGTTGTGAGGGTTTTGCTTTGGTAACCAGCGGTGAGCAGCGGAGAACCTCTGCCCGCCAAGCTAAATGTTCGTGTTCACGTTTAGCTCAGCTACGACGGGATTCGCATTGTCGACGAAGGCGATGATCACAAAATCCTATTTCTAGACTCGTCACTACGATTTAGCGCCATGATTTTGCTATCGCCTAAAACCGTAGCGTTTTGCATCTCCCTACTCACCTCCGTACGAACCATATAAATTGAGAGTTCTGTCGCGGTGGTGTTGTTGCATGTAGTGGCATCGTGTTAGCTTCGAACGTGACGTCATTGGATCTCCACGATCTGGACCAAAATACGTTCGTTAGTGGCTATACCTCATCTATTTGTATCATGAAACAAGTGACAAATTTATAATAAAATAATTGTCAAATAAGAATTATTGATCTAAGTATCACGTAAATCGATGGTGCTGATCCGTTTGAAATCGTCGACTTATATTTACATAGAATACGATTCTGATGAAGATTAAATGACTTAGTAGACAAACTCAGAAAGATACCTGTTAATAATTCGACTTATTTCCAATATTACCTGCAGCCTGTATAAGATTTTCAATATTTTAATTAAGAAAAACTAAAGTTTTTAGAAATAAGATTTAATTTCAAGGCGTGGTGTGATCTCGTCCAAGTAGTGCAAAACTGAAATCTGTCCCTCTTATCTCAGAGTGAAACTAACCGAACTTCATCGTCCTAATAAAGGAATGAAGAACTTGGCGAAAACTTTGTAATTTTCGAAACTTTTCAAACTTTCCTGAAAACGTTATGCATTTATATTCATTAATACGGGGCGTGTGCGGAATTCGGATATGACGTTTTCACAATGTTCCGTACACAATGAAAATTAATTAATAATAATATTGCACCTGATGCAATTTTTTCTTTAATACTCACAATAACAGCACTGGGTAATTGCCTAATAGCGCGCTCATTCAAATACAATATTTCACTGGATTACATCCCTCTGTAAATTGGTCAGCTTCACTGTGGGTAGACCGACTGAAAGCAGAAAGCACTGAGGGTGAAAAGAGAACATGGTAAAGAGATTAAAGATCGGTGATAAAAAAGGAGAAATGCATGGTGGCAAAAAACGAAAGAGGAAAAAAGACACGTAAGAGGAGAAGAAAATGAGGGAAATGAAAAATGGAGCAGTAGATGCAATAATAGGAAAAAGGTGACTTGAATCAAAATTGTATACACATAGATGAACCGACTCTTGGAAGATTGACAGCTGCGGGCCAGTGCGCCCCCTTATATACCCGATAGAACCTTGAGTACTGTCAAGCAAGTGCTTTCCCCTGCGAGAAATTCCTGCAAACTTATTTTTCACGCAGCCTTCAATTTGAGGGAAGATACTTGATGTATTTTGAGGAAAATTAATATTTAATAGTAATAGAGATTTATATCAAGAAATTATTCAAGTTTTCTCCTCGTATGTATTTTTTATCAATTTCTTGGTTATCTCACCAATTCGAGAATGACTGGCGATTTTATGTGTTTGGATGATGTCGTTATAGCAGTTTATCGTTGACTGACGTAAGACTTACAGCGTAACTCGAGATTCGTTATGAAAATCATGAAACTTCTTTAACGTTCTACAGTCATGAGAAATATATTTATTTCTGGTATCTCCATTATCACTGTAGTTACAGATGGGCCTCTGACACCATTAAAAATTATCCAAATGTTTCCTATGCTTGTTACGAACCAATTACGGAATTGGTAGCACACGAAAAATGCTTTTTTTTTTTTAACAGCCTTATTCACCATAATTAACAGCCTTATAACGATAAACTGTAAATGCGCCACTGCGTTACAATGCATTATAGTAAAGTATAAATGATCCTTACATAAGAAACCATTTTTTATTATCACCCTTAGTAACGTAAGAAAAATTTTATTTGATATTAGCCTAGAATAAATCAGATAAAATTATCTTCATAAAATACAAAAATTCTGTAATCTTCATAGTAGCCATGATTAAGTAAATATTGAAACTCAAGATGATCGATACCACCACGTCCAAAATAAATTTCGCAAGCGTGCTTAGCGCAAGCAAGATCATCAAATTATTACTGATTAAGCTTCTAGTACCGTATAAATATGGAATAAGCAAGAAAGTTTATCACTTAATTTTTCAATTCCGAAGCGGACAAAGCAGTGAGTATATATAGCATTTAAAATGAAAATAAAAACGTCACTTAAAAGTTCTAAGGCGTCAGAAGCAAACTACTGTAACTCAACTGACAATCAACTACTCTGATTTTTCTTAAAAGATTTCGCATACAGTCCAGTTGCCAAATTCGTTTTTCCTTATAACTAATTACATCTAACCGTGACACGTGCGTGTATATTCTGTATCACTGCACGTTGCCCGCCCAAACTTTATGATCAAGAGATTCCACGTGAATTTTATTAAGCTCAAATTACTTAATCTATTTAATATAGCCATATTCACATGAATGCTGAGCTCTGATTAAAAACATGACAAAAAGTCACATTTAAATGGGTATTTGATATTTTAAGCATTACGCTGCTAGGTAATCCTTCATGCTGATATAACAGTGATTATCTTATATAATATACATGTAATAATTGATAACTCGAATTTACGTATTATCATTCAAATTAAGCTCTCTTTCTGTATCTCTGTAATGTATTCTCTTGATAATTTTAACGAGAAAATTAATTCAAGATTATTAAAATAAATGGAACAAAAGAAATAGGAAAATGATATTAATATAATATTATTGAAAAATTATTATATTCTTCTATAGCTTTCCTTTCGTTTTTACCAAGGAAAAACACGTGTCATCCACAATACCATTTCTACCTCAATTTGCATCTGTTCGTACTCCGCATTTTCATTTCTTATATGTAGCATTGTGCTTATATATATATATACATACACGAACTAGAATCGCAGCTCGCCCAGGCGTAGTAAAACGAATCGATTCGAACACAGGCTGCAATAACGCAAAGATCCAAAGGTAAATGATACGTGAAAACATTTGAGTTTCGGGCAAGATGACCATTGACCTGTACTACGTTCCCACCAGTCCACCCGTAAGGATAGTTCGTCTCGTTGCCGCTGCTGTGGGTATCCCCCTTAACCTGAAGCTCGTCAACTTGAAGGCTGGAGAGCAACTCGAGCCTGAATTCCTCAAGAAAAATATCCAACACGCCGTACCCACAATCGACGACAACGGCTTCTACCTGTCAGAGAGGTTAGTACGTGCACACTGTATAAAAATTATATCAACAGAAAGTTTTATGGGAAAAATAAATACCAGCAAAATTGTCACGTTGCAGTCGCGCCATCGCTATATACCTGGTTGACAAATATGCCAAGAACGACGAATTGTATCCGAAGGATCCCGAAGCACGTGCTCTGGTTAATCAGCGTCTCTTCTTCGACGCCACGACTCTGTATCAGCGTTTCATTGATTATTACGTAAGTTTCTGATCGATGAAAAAAAAAAGAGATTGTCATCGAGCATCGAATATTTTTTTTTTTTTCTTCTAATCGGTAACATCGAACGGTTGTGATATTGATTTTTAGTTCCCGGTCATCTTTGCTGGGGCTTCCTTCGATCCTGCTGCTTTGGTTAAGATCGATGAAGCTTTTGGATGGCTGGATAGCTTTCTTGAAGGGCAGGAATATTTGGCTGGCAACAATCTGACTATTGCTGATCTTGCTTTGGTCGCTGGTGTTTCCACCTATGACAGTTTTGATTATGATTTGTCCAAGTACGAGAACGTTGTACGCTGGTACAGCCATCTGAAAAAGACTGCGCCACAGTACGACCAAGCGAACGGGAATGGTGTTGAGGAACTACGTGCAAATTCAGCGGTACTTTTGAGGAAGTGAATAAAGGAAGTTTTACAAAAATTGTGCATTTTCTAAATTTTTCAATCTTCTTCTGTGACGAGTACAATAATTTATGCTTTTCGAGAATGATAATACATAGGAATCATAGTACACGACTATACGTGTATCAATCAAGGTGGTTTTTTTTTTAATTACTAATTACGTAGTTCAGCATCGTCCACGAATTTACGCAACAGCGCGAAATATGACGTTGCCGTTGTTATCACCTTGAATAAAGAATTGAATAATTTGATAAATCACTATAGTGTATAGACATAATTTTTTTATAGGTGTATCAAATATATTTACCGCATTGAAGGATTCCAACGATACGATGCAAAATTTTCCAGCTGTCAGGTAACACGGACGATGACTTCGCATCATTAATAATTGTAATCCATCTCGATATGCTTTTCCATAACCAGTTGCTGAAAGACCGTACCAAGTTGTATTGTAGGCGCTATCGCCAACTTTTGCACTCGCCAATATGATCTCGTTGCATGACCAAGAAACGAGAAAAAATTCTCCGATACTTGTCAGGAATAAAGAGGTTCCAAATACGAACTTTAGTATCGTTCCAGAAAACTTGTCAACGAAAAATAGCAAATTTGAAATTTCTAAGTGATTTAGAATGATGTCTTATGAAGAAAAAAATATATGCGAAATCTATCGATGTATACTGACGAAAAATATTTGAAAACCAGATGTGCACATCAGTAAGCCAGACGATAACATTTGCACAAGTATCATATACGAACAAGCGTTTTCTATTTGTGCAGTGTAGTCGATGAGCATCATGTGAATTTTAATGCACTTTTTTAAATTTTCAAAAGCGTAACGTGAGATATTGGAATCCGTTATATCCAAGTCGTTTGAAAAAGTCCATTTCAATTTGTTGTGTAATATTTCGAATTGACATACAAGATGAAGATTTGTTGTCATCAAAAATATGTTGATCGTAACTGAACAAATTGCAGCGCTGACGCCTATCGCGGCCTAGAATAATAAAAATTTAAAGATGTAAATTGATTTTCGGTAGTCGGATGCTTAGAATACGAAGCATCGGTAAGCGAATGAATTGTAATACAGCTAATGTAAAATAAAATAATGTAAAATAATGCTAATAATAATAAATATAATAAATAATAAATAATAATAAATAATAATAATAATAAAAATAAAATAATGCTAATGTAAAATACCTCGAGAACAAATCCAATTTCGTAATACGGTGATTCGCTGTGAGAGAGCTTAGTAACATGGATCTGGATTGGTAAACTCTTTACACTCGTGTTTCCATTGAAATTTTCTTATAAGCGAGAATGATATAAAAATCTCAAAATAATGCAAAGTCGGAGCAAGAAAATATTTATTTTCATTAATAATATTGAAATTTAGTCACCCACGAAAGGAAGAATCACGTAATTCGCAGTTGCCCCTTGAGTTAGAATTCCAAGGATTATTACCAACACGACGCACTTACGCTCACAATCTATAATCGCATTTATACCGTATTCCTCTTTCTTTCCATTTTCAATAGTATCTTCTATACGGTCAATAATGTCAAATACTTTCTGTCGATTAATACCAAAGATAGTTAATTTCCCGATTAAATTAAGAATAGCAATCATTGCGCAAAATATATTCACAGCACTCTGCAACGATACAAAGTATAAATAAAAATTTGCGAACGCACCAATAAATAAGCGGCAAAATATAAAATTCACAATTAATTAAGCTAACGCGTATAGAGAAAAATTAAAGCACACCAATGTTCCAAATATATAAAAATAATCATGTATAACATATTATCACAATTGTCAAAAAAAAGAAAAATTTATTTCTCACTTACATAAATGTCATCCAAAGTGTAAAAAAAGTCTATTAACGATAACATCACGCCGATGGTCATCAGAGTTAATAGACATGTATAAATTAAAATCGTGACAACTTTATCAATTGTATTATCAGCTTTCCATAACCCAATTAATTTCATAGAAAATTTTATTATTTTTACCGACACACCGATATCTGTACGGCGCGACATTTCAGTCACATGTGTCACTGTCACAACATTATTCTCTTGGCGACCATCAAATTATAGTGATTACTATAATGATAGCAGTGCTAGGCGACTACAGGGCGCATCGTGCTTTGATCAGTTTCACGTCTTCGATCGGCAGGTTATTTTCCTACAAATTTTGCATCCCGGTGACGCCTTCCGAATCGTAAATGCATTCTAGGGAAAAAGAGAGTCCCTTGTACGTGATTCATAAAACACGTTACCAGCATACGTCATGGTTCATATACAGTCCAGTGAAGAGGAAACAAAATCGTAAAGCAGTCTAATGGATTGAGCCAGGGAAAAGTGAAAAGTGGAAAAATCAAGTTTTGTTAATGAATTATTAAAATCACTTATTTTTATAACTTAACAAAACGCAGACACGTGTACGTGAAGTTTTCTGTGAGAAAAAGAAACTTTTAAGGGCAACGCGAATAAAATCAAATTATATTAATAATAATAATTAAACTTCCAAATAGTTACAATTTCTCCTACGCACGAGTTTATACATTTAATAACAATATTTTATCTACAGAAATTTCATTTACACTGTCCGCGATCTTCATACCATAGACAACGATTTACTATTATACATTATAATTCGCGAAAATTTTACCGACTTATATCTGCTCTGATTTGACGTCGAGTAGAAAAAAAGAGCAAACGACTTACCGCATAATTTTACAAATTGACTGCAATCATACTTCAAGACCATTTTACCAATCGAACGGCGATTATAGTAGGAACGTTTTATTGCAGTGGATTCTTGGCGATCCTCATAGGTCGCGTAAGGTTTGATATTTTTAGAGAGAAAATATTCGTTAGGTGAATAAAATGGATTCCTGGCACTTTATATACATTTCAAACATACAGTATGTACAGGAATCTTAATTGTAATACTGCAGTGTACGCGAATCAGTATAAGCGGCCTTTTTTTTATTTATTACGAAATTCATCCTCGTCAACGAAATTTCGTAACAGCGTGAAGTATGACGTTGCTGTTGTCATCACCTTAAATGGCGAATTGGATATTATGATCAATTGCAATAATGTATACAGACAGCACATAAATCGTAAAGTCAACATTAACGTCTAGAAGACGGGAAGTCGATTTTTTTTGGACTCTACATATATTTCATACATTTCCTACAGCATGATTTTTACATACGCATTAAAGTTCTAATTGAAAAAATGTAGAAATTTTTAAAAAATTCCACCCCTTGTCTAAAGACTTTTGGACGTGTATTAAATGTATTTACCGCGCAGAAGGAATGCAAGGATATGACACAAAATTTTCCAGCTGTGAGATAACACGGATGATGACTTCGCATAATTAATAATTGCAATCCATTTCGATATGCTTTTCCATGATCAGTTGCGATAAGACTGTACCAGGTTGTGTCGTAGCCGCCGTCGCCAACATTCTCACTCGCCACAATGATTTCATTACACGACCAGGAGAAGAGAAAAAATTCACCGATAGTTGTCAGGAAAAAAGAGGCTCTAAATATGAATCTCAGTATCGTTCCAGAAAACTTGCAAAAGAAAAGAAATTTGAAATCGGTACGTACGAGTAATTTGGAATAATGTTTTATGAATAAAAACATATATATGGGGAATCGATCAATACATACTTACGAAAAATACTTGAAAACCTGATGTGCATATCAGTATATCAGATGATAACATTTGCATAAGTATCACGTATGTATAAACGTGTTCTACTTGTCCAGTGTGGTCGATTAGCATTTTGTGAGTTTTTATACATTTTTTTAACTTGCTATAAGCGTCACGTGAGTCATTGAAACCCATCGTGTCCAAATCACTTTTACAAGTCAATTTTAATTTGTGATGTAAAATTCTAAATTGACATGCGAGATGAAGATTTGTTATCGTCAAAAAATTGTTGAGCGACACCAAACACGCTCCAGTGCTAATGCTTATCAATGCCTAGTAGAATAAAAATTTCATGAAATAAATTAATTTTTGTTAATCAGAATACCGGAATACAAATTATCAGGAACTAAATTAATAAAATTCAGTGGGCCCACTCGTGGACTCCACAATATCGTATTTTCGTCTTTCTTGCACACTTTGTGGGTTAGGGTGTCCAAACCTGATTAAATTTTAATGACTGGGCCCACTGCCCTTTAGCATAAAAATGGAAAATATACATTTGGCAGATTTATGTAAAATACCTCGATACAAAGTCCCATTTCGAAATACGGTGATTCGTCATAAGGTAGATTACCAAAATGCATCGGGACTGGTAAAGTCTTTCGAGTTGCATTTCCAGTAAAATTTTCTTATAATATTTGAAAAAAAAAATGAAAACGAAAATTTGAAATTAGACATTAAATTAAATAAAGTCTATAAAAGAAAACTCTTACACAAGATAAATAAAGGATAAAGCGAGAATAAGATATGAATCCAAAAGTGTGCAATGTTCGAACAATGTAATATTCATTTTATTTATTTTTTATTAACATTGAAATTTACTCACCCACGAATGGCAAAATCACGTAATTCGCAGTTGCCCCTTGAGTTAGAATTCCAAAAGTTATTGCCAACCCGACGCATTGACGTTCACAATCTTTGACCGCGTTTATTTCGTATTCCCCGTATATTTCATTTTTAATGGCATTTTCTATGCGTTTAAGGATATTCATCACTTCGTCCCGATTAATTATAAATATTATTAATTTCCCAGTTATATTAATCAGAGCAATCGTTGGACAAATAATATTCACAGCTTTCTGCAATAATGCCAAACGTGAATTAAAATTTGCAAACACACCAATACCTAAATGTGTATAATAACCATTAAAAACTTGCAATTAATTGCTCATAGCACAAAATATAATTGAATTTAAAAATATATATATTTGTCACTTACATAAATGTCATCAAGAACATAAAAGAGATCTGTCACTAAATAAATCACACCTACTACCACCATACCACTTGTATAAAAAAAAATTAAAGTCATAAAAAAATTTTCAGTTCTATTATCAGCTTTCCATAATCCAATTAATTTCATAGAGTATTTTGTTATCTTAAGAGACACACCTATGTCTGAATGGTGCGACATTTTAGTGGCTTATGGCACTCTGATAACATTTTTCTCTTCGCGAGTATTGAATTCCTATGATTACTGTAATGATAGTAATGCCAGGTGGCTACATGACATATCGTGCTTTGATCAATTTCACATCTTCGATCGGCAGGTCATTTTCCCACAATTTTTGCATCATGGTAACGCCTCCCGAATCATAAATCCAGTCTAAGGGAAAAGACAGTTCCTTGCACTTTTTGTTTTTTCACGACACGAGCTACCGACGTGAGTCATGGTTCACATGGGAACCAATAAAGAAGAAATATGTAAGAAAGAGAATATTAATCAAGGGAATCACCCAAGAGTGTAAAGAGCATATACGAAAGTGTGTTGATTCATTTGAAACGACAAATAAAATGATGTGATATTGTTCTGTGAAAAGTTGAATTTTTGGCCCCCAGTGCAAGATCACCCAGAGTCCATTGACCCCTGCCCCAGAACCCCTGCTGGTGCACGGCTACCAGAGAGGGGGCACGTTCGACCGATGGCGCCAGTCTTCCGCAGTAGAGCTGCAGGACATGTTCGTAAAGACCCAACTCGAAGGGTCCCATGGGACCTCGACCCTTGACCCATTCAGCCACCCTGTTCGCCAGATTTCATCGTGGAAGTGAAGGATCCAAGACCTCGCCTTCCATTTTTATATAGCACTTGGCAAGTACTCATTCCGGCAACTTCATCTTCGTTGAAGTGTCCATCCGGTCCGAATCCTCCCTGTCGCGCATACGGTTAGGTCCAGTCTCAAGCATCCTCCTGCCTAACCCTCGTGTCCTGACGCGACTACCAGTGTCTTTTTTCTTTTTCCCAATGCCCCTTCGCGAAGAAATTTCTAATTCCTAATTTGGCCCGGATGAAAAGAAAAATACATTTGCCTACATTTAAACAAAATTTATTCTCGTCAAAACCTTTCAACGAATAAACAAACGAACTAAACCACCAATTCCTGATGCCTGGAACAACTTAATAGGCCTTCACACTGCCATAAAATTTCGGGGATTCCTTGCTAAAATTTTGCAATTTTTCTCCCAGAAACTGAAATCTTATACTTTTTTACGTGTGCATTTTGCTTGAATTATACAATAAAGTTTGACAAATTTCTTGTGCAATGATTGTCTATTTTATTTTTCTTTCGATTCTGCGACCGTCCCCTTCACACATCGTCTTCGCTCATTTGTCGTAGCATTGTAAAATAAGACATAGCCGTACTTAATATCTGTAAAAAATATTTTTCATATACGAAGAATTATACTTTGACATGAAAATTCAGTCGATTTTTTCATTAAATGACACTCCATAAATATCCACTTCTTTTACCGCAGTTAATGTTTGCAGTGTTATTGGTGAAAATTTTCCTGCTGTAAGCTGACACGGCCGCTGCGCCCTCAGCATAAGAAATAATATTCCGTTTCTCAACGATTTTCCAGTTTCATCGTATGGCAGAAGGTACCAACGCGTGTTGTAAGCTGCTTGCGAGATGTAAAGACTTTTTTCACTTATTTGATTGCAGCTCCAAGTGTACAGTAGGAGTTGCGTGAGACCAGCCATGAAGTGACAGATAAATGTAAACTTCCGGAGGAAGCTCATCGTGGCCTGTAAAAAATGAAATTCAACTGGGCAACAATGCTGCCAACGAACTAGGCTAAGAATAATTCGTTGTTTCTCACCATGAGCTGAAAACCACCGACGCAGATAACAAAACTGGAAAGTATTAATTGTCCAAGTAGAATCAAAGTGAAAGCACGTTCCATTTGTTCTATATAAGATATCAGGATTTGATGTTGATTTATACAGCTTTTAAATTTTTTCAAGGTTAACGAAAGTCCCAATTTTGATTTCTCCGACACGTAATCCTTCATGGTGATATCTATACACGTGTCTGCTACAGTTTCGACACGATGTCCCAAAATTTCCAGCTGACCAGCTACGTAAATATTTAGGACTGATATGAAGTTGTCGAAGAAGCACGTACAAATTCCTGTGTAAAGTGTTGACAAAGACTATTAATCATTAGAAATATTAATTGCCCTTGTAATAAGATCCAATACCTGTATAGTATAAGTGATTTCATAATAAGGCGTGACAGTGACTGGTAAATTGACCCACAGTGTGAATGGAAGAATTCTGTCGGTTTCGTTTCGATGAAAATTTTCTGCAAGTGGGACGATTAATTTCATTGATTAAAGACTCGCCTCGAATCCTTTAATGCGAGTAATAAAAATTGAGATAATGACAATTTTTATAGAGTATTAAAAAAACGGTTTTCAAATTTTCTAATAAAACTTCAAAATCTCGGGATAATAATACGGGACTATTTGAATGCCAATAATGTCGATATGCCTACCCACAACTGGTGCAAAGATGTAATCCAATACTGCGAACAATACCAAATTTGTGAAGAGGTAGACAAATATTTTTCCATATTTGTCGCAACGCTTCATTGTCTCGCGGGTGAAGTCGTCGTCAGGATCACACCAGAAATTATTTTGCGCAAATGAGATTAGGTACATCATGACGTTCCAGTGAAATAAGAAATTCGAAATCTTCACCAAAACCATAACAAGGGGCATTGTTGAGCATAAATTGTACATGACAGCCTGAAATGAACTCGGACGATGTTAAGAATTTTAACAGTACATTTTCAAGTATAAATTCTCACTACTACGATACGAGATAAATAATTGAAATATTGAAATTCTATTTCTAATATCGTATAAGACTTTGTTATTTCATTCGTCGAATTTTCATTTAAAATTCAATTCGGCTTAACGACTTACCGAAAAATCTCCTAAACAGTGATACAGGTCAACGAACTCTACGGCGAGTGCAAATAAGATTGCAATAATTGCGTATGTCAAAGCGACACGTAACAACAATCGTTCACGAGGATTTTCGGTATAATACATGCCAACTATTTTCATTAAAATTCGCATAAATTTTACCGACCGATATTCACTCTCTTTTGACGTCATGATAGAAACTCGACTAGTGTCGTACTGTCGATGAAATTTCATTCTTGAGAGAAAAAAAAAAGAGCAAACGACTTACCGCATAATTTTACAAATTGACTGCAATCATACTTCAAGACCATTTTACCAATCGAACGGCGATTATAGTAGGAACGTTTTATTGCAGTGGATTCTTGGCGATCCTCATAGGTCGCGTAAGGTTTGATATTTTTAGAGAGAAAATATTCGTTAGGTGAATAAAATGGATTCCTGGCACTTTATATACATTTCAAATATACAGTATGTACAGGAATCTTAATTGTAATACTGCAGTGTACGCGAATCAGTATAAGCGGCCTTTTTTTTATTTATTACGAAATTCATCCTCGTCAACGAAATTTCGTAACAGCGTGAAGTATGACGTTGCTGTTGTCATCACCTTAAATGGCGAATTGGATATTATGATCAATTGCAATAATGTATATATGTATACGTGATACAATGTTCTACCGTCATATCAAATATATTTACTGTGGAAAAGGATTCTAGTGATATTATACAAAATTTTCCAGCTGTGAGATAACACGGACGATGACTTCGCATAATTAATAATTGCAATCCGTCTCGATATGCTTTTCCATAACCAGTTGCGGAAAGACTGTACCAGGTCGTATTGTAGCCGCCATCACCAACTGTCGCACTCGCCACGATGATTTCGTTACATGACCAGGAAAAGAGAAAAAATTCGCCGACGGAAGTCAGAAAGAAAAAAATACTCAAAACGAAGCGCAGCATCGACCCCGAAAACTTGTTAAAGAAAAGAAAAATTTGAAATCGGTACGTATGATCTAGAAAGTTTTTTGGAGAAAAAAAATGTATGCACGGATTTTATCGTTATACATATATATACTTACGAAAAATAATTGAAAACCAGCTGCGCATATTACTACACTGGATGCAAACATTTGCATTAGTATTATGTATGTATAAACATCTTCTACTTGAGCAGTGTAGTCGATGAGCATTTTGTGAGTTTTTATACATTTTTTTAACTTGCTGTAAGCATCACGTGAGGCATTGAAATTCATATCCAAATCGGCGATACAAGTTGATTTTAGTTTGTTGTGTAAAATTTTGAATTGACACGCAAGATGAAGATTTGTTGTCGTAAGAAAATTATTAAGCGTAACTAAACACAGTGCGGAACTAAAGCCTATCATTGCCTGTTGGGAAAACAAAAGTAAATATTCGGTAATTAGATAGCAATTGTTAAATAGATAACTTAATTGTAATAGAGCAAAAATAATGAAAATATATGTATATTCAGGATATTAATATGAGATACCTCGATACAAAATCCAATTTCGAAATAAGGTGATTCGCCATAAGCGAATCCACCAAAATGGATAGTGACTGGTAAATTTCTACTTCCGTTGCCGGAAAAAATTTCTGTGAAAAAAGAAGTTTCAAAATTGCACATTCAATCAAGTGAAGATAAGGCGATATTTAATTTTGAATCCAAAGTAATTTCCAGCCAAAATGATAAAATATTTATATTCGGTATAAATTTGATAATTTACTCACCAAAAAGTGGCGGTATCACATAATTAGAAGCTGCCCCCTGAGTCAGAATTACAAAAGTTATTACCAAAATAATACATTGACGTTCACAATCTTTGACGGCTCTTATATCGTATTCCTCGTACGTTTCGTTTTTAATCGAATTTTCCAAACGTTCTATAATATTCAAAACTTGCCGTCGATTAATCGCAAAGATTATTAATTTCACAGTATTATTAAAAATAGCAATCGTTGGACAAATAATATTTACGGCTGCCTGAAATAATGCGAAGCATGAATTAAAGAATTAGCGAACACGGCAACAAATCAGAGTCGTAATTTCAGACTCAAAATTAATTGAGCTCGTATCACAACACATGCAACGCATAGTCAAAGCACTGATAACTGAAAATCATGTATTATATACCTGTATTATCACACTTACAAAGAAAAAATATACAATATATATGTCACTTACATAAATGTCATCGAAAACGTAAAAAAGATCAGTTACTGTGAATACAATACCGGCAATCCCCATGCTGATTGTATAAATGAAAATTGAACTCATGAGAAATATATCAAGTGTATTATCAGCTTTCCATAATCCAATTAATTTCATAGAGTATTTTATTACCGCAAGGGACACACCTATATTTGAATGGTGGGACATTTCAGTGACTTGTGACACTGTCATAACACTTTTCTCTTCGCGACTATTCAATTCCAATGATTACTGTAATGATAGTAATGCCAGGTGGCTACATGACATATCGTGCTTTGATCAATTTCACATCTTCGATCGGCAGGTCATTTTCCCACAATTTTTGCATCATGGTAACGCCTCCCGAATCATAAATCCAGTCTAAGGGAAAAGACAGTTCCTTGCACTTTTTTTTTCACGACACGAGCTACCGACGTGAGTCATGGTTCACATGGGAACCAATAAAGAAGAAATATGTAAGAAAGAGAATATTAATCAAGGGAATCACCCAAGAAGTGTAAAAAGCATATACAAAAGTGTGTTCAGTGTGTTGATTCGTTGGTGGAAAGTTGAATTTTTGACAGTAACGCAAGTTAAATTAAAATTAGTCAATCCACTTATTTAATATCGATATTAAATGTAAAATTATATTATCAAATCAGTAAGAGAATTTTATTATTGACTATCTATCAGTCGTCGTCTTCGATGAACTGACGTAACAACGTAAAATACGACACAGCCGTAGTTATAACCTATAAAATATGTAGATTGCATTATCAATGTAAAACAATTTCCAAAAGATATATCACAGTAACATGTCTGGAAATATATTACAGATTTTTTTTCTTATTACCGACGTAAACGATTCGATGGATACAACCGCGAAGGTTCCAGCTGTCAGATGACGGCTTACTCTTATCATATATTTTTAAGCAAATTTCAAAGCAATCAACAATCGATGACATCTTCGAAATTATATTTACGACATAATCAAATTACTCGTAACATAATATCGTCATAAATATCAGTCAATACCAATGAAACACGTGAATAATAAAAAAAAATACTTGAACAAACTTTGCAATGTAATTTGTAAAAAAAATATTTTCCAATAATTTGCTACTTCTTCATTATCGATCATTCAACACACTACTCAACGACCAGCGGTATAATTATCCATTTATCGAGGTACACCTGGTATCAAGATGGAAAAAGAAATTGCCACAATATCACTGTATCAAACTCGTCCATATATATAATTTAACCTAACCTATGCCATATAATATTCCAATTTTGCTCGACATTTTTTTTTTCCCAATATATTGATTTTAATCAATTTCTTAAGTGACAACCGAAATACACGTACTTTTTACTTACAGATATGTTTTCAAGAGAGTGATACTGGTCGCCTGGCGTACTCCGTCTTCCACACACTGATCAATTTCAAAGAAATTTTCAAGATTCGAATCGACAGTATTCTGTCTTCGTCCGACGACATCTTTAAGACATTACACTTTGGTATGTTCTTCTCCCTCGTGCTTTAATTTTTTATTATTAGAGTAATATTCGTAATGGTAGGTGTCTGCGCGTCGTTCTTTGATCATTGAAATATCAGTGATCAATACCCAGTATATATAATATTTCCCTTTCTCGTGTGACACTAGTGTTTAAAAACTTGTATATATTAATTATATGCAATAATCAAGTATTATTTTAAAAGTGTACGTTTAATCGTTACGTTAAAATTGGATTAAGTTCACTTGATTAAACACGTGTTCAGTTTATAACTAAGTGAAGGTTCATAATTCAGGAAGAAAATTGAATGATTCCCAAAAACAATAGACCTCGGGTATCAATATCAGGGAATTAATTGCTATGATATATAAGAGCATGATATATCGAAAAATTTTACGTAATCAAAAGTTATATCACTCTGAAGGGCGTAATAGTTAGCAGATATTTTGCCAATGCAGCTCGTGCATGTCGTTCGGTGTATTAATGGGAAATCGATACTTTAATCAAGTGATATGTACGGGATAAGAATCTTGTTGTTTTTCTGTATACGTTTGCCATTATATCCTGTCATGATAGAACAGTACCATTAGTTAAAATATATTAATTGACAGAATATCCAAATCCAATTATTTTCACTTCAAGAATGTCTACTTGCTATGGTGTGCAACGCATTTTCTTGACTCAACACCGATAGCCAAAATCCGAGAACTGACCTGGGCCGTCCACCCTTCGTCCGTGCATCCGCATGCCAGGCGGGCGCCGGCCAATTCTTTTTTTCACCAGGAACTGATGATCCGGTACGACCTAGGAGTTGAGGTGAGACAGTCCGCCATAAGGAGAGTTCTCACGGAAATCCCTGCACCAATTAATAAATCGGAAGTACTCACCGGGGCTGATCCAGCTGATCAGTGAAGGCCGAGAGCAGCATCCGGGGGCCACTCGGGTGGGCACTGCACTGTAGCACAACACTGCACGTCCGAAACGCACGTAGAAAATCGGTAGGATTTTCTGGATATTGCGAGAACAACGAGGACTGTACAAGCGAGAACTTTTTATACCGGGTAGGAAACACGTTTGGAAAAACTATCGACAGATAGCACGGGAGCGCGAGGTGGCTCGAGGCAGCCCGATCGGTGTCCCAAGACAGACTGACTGACAGTAATCAAATTCGGTGACTAATAAATCCGATTGGTCGAGATCCTAATAGCCAATGACTATGATCCCTCCCCTGGAGTCGTCCCTTTAAACTAAATCGCGAGCGTTTCTTAGCGCCGGTATCTCAGCCGGACCTCTGCCAACCACGTGGAGACGTCTCCGTCGGGTCGTCTCCTCTGCCGGGCAACTCGGCACGTCGAGACTATCTCCACACGGCAGATTCGAGCACCTCGACTCAACAATAGCAAATCGTAGCTTCTGGACAAGGCGGCGACTCGAAGGTAACCGGAAGGCGAGAACGTTATTTGAATCGGCAGCTGGTGTCGCCTTGTGACTCTGAGTCGAAAAATTTCATTTCATTTCGATAATTGACAATTGGATTTATTTAATTTCAGAGCTATGCGAGAATGCCAATGCGAGAATCTCGAGGCGTGTAACAAATTTCCGAGATTTCATTATTACTCTTGCTGTCAATTCTTGTCTTACAGCTTTATTATTATTATAATAAAGGGAAGTCTTTACCACCCGTAACGGGGTATACTGGTACGGCAGCACTCTACGTCACGATTTTAATGAATAAATAAGAGAAGAGAAGCTATCGAATTACGTAAGTCACAACATAATTCATATTTAATACATTGTACGTTGAATAATAGTGTTTTCCAAAATCCTGCACATGATGAGGAAATTTTAAATCAATTAAGATTATTATTTTCCGGATGTCAATTACTGTATTTCCAAAGATCCCTTTCAAAATTTATTTACGTTAAAGATCTTTCTCTTAACTGTACTGTACGAAGAGAAAGAAAAGTGTGCATTTTTCTGGAAGATTTTTGAAATTTCAATAAATTTTTTTTCTCGCATTTATTTATTACTAATAAAATATTCTGCTATCCAAGATAACCATAATACACTACATAATGATTTACAGTTGATATACTATGAAGACTCTCCACGTTGTCTTAGTAAAGTAAAGTACGATATGGTGGTACTGATCACCTGAAAATATTAAGTAAATATATTGGAATTTTTCGGAAAATATATTTTTTCAATATTACAAATCGGCGTTTACTTTTGTAAATGTTTCTAAGGATATGGCAAAGAATCTTCCTGCCGTTAAAGAACATGGGCGTCTTGCTCGTAATATGACAAGCACTAAGCAACCCCTGATAACTTTACTTGTTTTATCGAAAGGCAAAAGATACCAATGAGCCCGATAAGCCGCATTGGCTACGCCAAGACTTTCATCTATTATTTCGTTGCTCGTTGACGTATAGAGTAACAGTTGAAAAAAACAACCAATTGTATACGCAGTAAAAATACAACGTTGGCTTGCCGAATTGTCGTCCTTTGTACCGGAAATATTGAAAGAGTCCACATTTTTAAATTACAGTTCAGCGGAAATACTTATGATTATATTACAATGAACCTTTGAACTACTCACGGAAACTGCTTGAAAACCGGCTAGACACATGAGTATACTTGACAATATCACCTGACAGAGTATTATGAGGCTAAAGATGGCTTCGACCTTTTCCACGTAGTAAATAAGCATTTTATGCAGTTGAACGCAACTTCGAAATTCTTGAAAGACGGCCGCTGGATTCTTTCTTATCCAAATTCCACGATCCTTTTTTTCGTCTTCACGATCATTCGGTCCGCACAATCTTTCCAATTTGCCTTGGAGTATTTTGAATTGACCAGCAACGTGAATATTGATTATACAAAAGAAATTGTCGATGCAAAAAAAGCCGACTCCCAGGTAACACAGTATAATTCCCTAAATGTCCAAAAATTTATATCGATATACAACAATCGATAAATAATAAAATCTATATTAAAAATAGAAAAATCATCTTAAGTTTAACACGGATCAATGATTATCGTTTTTCGATGGAATACCTCAAAAATGAATAGCAATTGAAAATACGGTGCCCTTGCCATAGTCTCATTGAGCCACATCGTAAAAGGTAATATTTTGTCTGTTCCAGTTTTACCTATATTATCTGTCACGTAACATTACGATTAATCCGATAGCAGAATACAGAATTTAAAAAGTTAAATATATCTACCTATGATCGATCGTACGGTATAGGTAATAGCTGTGAATAGTGCAAAAGACATATATGACGTAATCAAAAGGACACATTTCGTCTCGCAATTTTGCAAAATGGCAATACCAAACTCATCGTAATCGTCGTGCCAAAATTTGGTTTGACATATATCGATAAGTTCGTATAAAGACTTTCGATTAAGTCGAATCATTGATAGCTTGAATAAGACAATGCCTGGTGTAAGTATATTGCATATTATATAAACTGCTTCCTAGAATAATAATAATATATATAAAAAAATAAGACATAGTCCACCGGATAATAATTAATTATAAAAAATAGTTAAAGCGTTATCAAATTGTACATCGATTTCAAACTGAAATCTCTTGTAGATACTTTCAACTATTTTGACAGAGACATCCGGAACGATTGCATAAATGATGACTCCGAGGAAATTAGACTGTGCGACCATAGGCATAATGCCGAAACAAATGCTACAGGTGGTCGCAGTGCGATCTGTTGGAAAAGTGCATCTAGAGAAATTTCGTGGATATTAGCGGTAGCATTGAGATGAAGGAAAGTGCAAAAATCGACAGGCAGAAAGAAACGCTTGTCGGACAAGTCAATTGCGTAGGACTGTAGAAAGTTAGATAGAGAAAAAAAAATGAAATCGAAATATGATAAGCAATCGTACTTACGTTGAAGTTAAATGGATATTTGTAAATATCCCACATCTCAAACAGGATAGAAAGAACAGTGCCAGCGATGGTAACGAACAGAGACACGTCCAAGACAAATTGTTCATGCTTGCTTTCTGGGAGCCATATGCCAACGATTTTCATAAAAAATTTCGTCACCTTTATCGACAAGTATTTGTTTCTATGCGTGTCCATATCCTGGTCTGATAACGGCTGATACTGCAGAACGAGTCTCGAGGCTTACGGCAATTACGATAATGGCGACACATAATGGTACGTTGGGCTCGTCAAACTTGACACCTCTTTGATCCTGGAAGCCTTTCGATTCCACGCGTCTCTTTTACATGCCCATTTAGAGTGATGGTCAATTTGAACTGATTGTTTTTTGCATTCTATAGTCCCTTGGTAGAGACACAGAACCGCAAGTCTCCGATATTATTCAGTTCGGTCCGAGGTGGTTACGATGATTACACGTAATCGATAATCCATCAATTTTTCACCTGCTTCGAAATCAAGGAATTGCGTCCCAGTGGAACTTTTTACAGCGGCTTGTGTCAACGTATGGAAACGTAGTGTCTGGCTGCTGTGATGATAAACTGGTGGGATGATATTTCCAATCCCTCGAAATCTTTTACAAATAATTAGACCGAGTTTCGGTGCTGGAATATTTCTTGGTGATCTTCAAAATTGTGGTCATACGAATACTATGCATATGAAATTTATTAATTATTCTTATCTCTGTTCTAGAGTATCAATATGATTTTTGCTGGAGGTACATGACGTATAGTGTCTACGTGTTAAAAATAAATATTTTTTTAAACGAATGAAATCTGCATTTTTACATTAAGATCAACCATTCACTTAATACATCAATAATGGTATGTATTGCTGTTAATTGTTGTTGATCGGTGAGAGGTTGTTTGAAATTTTGATGGTGGAGGTTACAATTGAAAAAATTCATATAAAAATATAACAGTCATGAAATGTTCAGCTTTAAAGTAATGCCTTTGTTGTATAAGCTTTACAAGTTAACTGGATGCATGCAAATCATAAAATACACAATCATCAAATTTATTAGCTGTCAGGGCTGTGATTGCTCTTCATCACCTACCATTCAAATAGTCATTTGGAATATATTTTGCACGTGTGAAAGTATTGCGGGGTGTGGAGTTTTTTATGCAAAATATTGTTATATTTAACATTGAGAGGGTAAACTAACTCGAAAAATAAATATAGGTATTTAATTGAGAAGAATATTCAGTATTCTCTTGATACACTGTACTAGCTTTTTATTAAGGATAAATATTTGTTGTGTGCATCGAGTCGATTTGCTTTTACATTCGTGCATTATGGAGATACATGTTATACCATTAGCAGCATATTTGCAGAATTTCATAGCATCATTGTCACGCTTATTTTTGCACCCAGGATATGCACAGGAAAATAACGTGAATTCGCACCAGTATGACAACGAGAAGCTTATTAATCATCCACAGCCATATAATTGCTACTCGTTCATTTAAAAACATTTAATCATATTAACGAGCGACCAAAAAGCCACCAGCGTCGCCATCTCGTGAATCTGACAATGTTCAGGAATCAATGACAGTAACCATGCGTAAGCAAAGAGCGATTCACATCTTACCGACGTTCTCTGGTACTACAACTATAATCGAAAAATGTGCTTTAAAAAGCATAAGAAGAAAGATAATCGCAACAGTAAAGTGAACAATGTTTTCTTACAATTTTCTTTCATACCCATAGGAGCATGTATAGAATCATGAGTCAGCTGGTAAAATCGACGCACATACATGAACCCAACAGCATAATTCCACATAAGTTTGCGTAAACTCAAATCACAGGCAGCAGAGATCACTGCGTGACTTGTAAGAAACTTTTGGATTACTTATAGGTTTAAATAAAAATAAAATAACCTGAAGAATGAATATAATCATGTTGATTATTATGTAGCAATAATGCACTACAGTTGCATTGCATCACAGATCACAATCCAAATAACAAGCACATATCATTTTGACGTATGATATTTCATTGGTGTGAAATAAAATTGAAAACATATCTCATCAGCAGCGCGTCGAAGAATTGATTACTCATTTTCGTTCATTCCACGTAATACGGTAAGATAGGAAAGCGCTGTACTCAGTACCTGAACAAGGTATATATTTGAAGTTATCACAAATGCGATATACCAACTGTAATTAGATAAGATACAAAACACCATGACCGCATGATAATGGTATAAAATGAATATCGGATTATGGAAACACTTGATAATTACATGTCCATATCATTCGTTAATACTTACGGATTTGAACACTTGCAGAGTCATGGGACAAACTTTGCCAACTGTCAATGAGCACGGCTTGTAGGACCTCATGACCATTATGGTCATTCCCTGTCTCAGTGCTCGACCATTTTCATCGCACGGTAACTTGTACCATTTGCATCGATACGCAGCTTCCCCGATAGCGGCGCTGGCTTCAAATATTTCATTGCACGAGAAAGAGAAAAGGGCTGTTGAAGCCAGAGCAGCCATGACAAATTCTGCGCTTAGAATTTGACGATGGAGTTTCGTGGCTTGATTTCCCTGTTGACAGATTATTTGAGGTTAGAACAAAAATTTTCATGACGTTTCACTCCTTTAATCACTTTTTCTACATAGCACTTATTCACATAACATAGATTGTTCGATACCAATTTTTCTGTGATTCGGGAGAAGGATGAAGGAGCATTAATCATTGCAACGCTAGTTAGTCCAAGGACAACATCTATTCGTCTGATAATAATGACACTTACCAAAAATATTTGAAATCCAGAAAAGCAAAGTATTATGACGATACATAATACGTGCATCAACAATACGAAGGAGAACAGACTTTCCAGTTTACCCAAATACCAAATTAGTAGTTCATGTTGCACGACGCATTTTTTGAGTTTTTCGTATGCAAGCGTAGTATCATTATTGTTATATGATAATTTTGTGTTTACACGTTTTAGTTCTACCTCGCACACATTCTCTAACTCTCGCTGCAAGATTTTAAAGTAGCCGGAAACAAAGATGCACGTGTAGAATAGATAGCAGGCGAACGCTATGCTGCAAATACCTATACTAATTCCTGCAATCACCTAATGAGGATATTATTTATGTCAGTAGCATGTCAATAATTGAAAAATATCATCAATGATTATATAAACAATAACTTGGGCGTTTTAGTGTTTGATCTATATTTTCCGTACAGAGTACACGAATGAGTATCAAGTGGAGTACCACAGGAAGTAAAATTTGTACACGTAAAGTAGAAGTAAAATTATTTCACTGTTACGAGACTCCTACTTTGAATACGATTTTTTTTTGTTTTAATTATAACCTTTATTATTATTATACTTCCCACGATACTTACCTCAGTACCATACAATATCTCATAATATGGAGTCATTGTAGTTGGCAAGTTAAATACTACTCGTAACGGTAACGTTCTCTCAGTGGTGTTTGTTCCTACGATATCTGAAATGTATAAATATAGTTTAATTCTTACGCAGAATACAAATAATTTCTATTCAAGTTAAGACATAAATTTATTTTATAATTGATACTCGCTTTTACTGATCAGGTACTGAGTAGTAATTACGTATTACAATTATTTTAAGCGTTTATTATTTTATCTTTCAATTATCATTTAAGATAAATAGTCTAAGACTTACCCCAGTATGGACCCGTCAGATAATGAATTATAACCCCAATTCCTAGTACACCCAGTATACTCATTCCAATGGCACTTGTACTATCGCACTTGTCCAATATTGCTTTATCCAGTTCATTGTAATCCTTATTCCAAAATGTATCTTCAGTAAATTTACACACTTCATGCATGACCTGACGCTTGTACGTGAATACCGCTAATGTTATAAAATCGAATGTCACGGTGAGGGAACATGGTCCATTATAAGTGAGTGCCTATAATTGCATTAAAAATCTGATAAGCACAGAGATTTATACACTATACGATAACACTAAGTCTTCACATAAATCAAACGCAAGAAATCTACTGGTCACAGTGACACCATACGGTGGCATAAAGTAAGCGCAGCAATAAAATAATGCCAAAATCGACGGAAGAATGCTTACATAGAGATCGTTCCGTGAATAAATTAAATCCGAATTTTCTATACACATTGCGATGAGAACCGTAATTAATACGTAAACCAATAACCCGTCTATTAACAACTGTTCACGTTTAGTTTTACCGCGTTTCATACCAATAAGTGTTATTAGAATTTGCGATATCTTCGTCGACGTGTAACCTTCTATCAAATTCGACATTTTTCTTACTGCTTACGATGCGACGACTGTCCTATTGCAGCCAAGAATACGAAACGTAATGCATGCGACGTAATGCATGAAATATAAAAGCGACTTCCGCTTCTCCTGAATCTTTTATTTCTTTATTTCTTTCAGCCCCACTTGATCCAACCGTCAGTAACGTAGATTTGCATTATCAATGAAGTTTTCACTTTGAACTCGTATGACACTTTGATCAGTTTAATCTCTTTGATATGTTTATTAAACCGAACTCGTCGTTACCGTGTAATTTTTTTTCTTCGTCATAAAATTATCAACGATCCCTTGCATCCTTAGCTATACACCGTAACTGAAAGCATGCCTATTATACCATATAGATAACTCCAGAAATAGAATAGTCACTATCACTATTCCTTGTAAAACACCATTAAAGTTACTTGGATAAGAAATAGTGAAAATTGAGAGGGAGATAAGAGACCACAGAGCTATTTGTAATTCTTTTATAATTCCCTATCAAATATTATATTTATTAACACTTTATATTTATGTAGAGTTCAGTAAAACGATTATTGCAATTACTAGAATTGAAAGGCAACTTTATAAATACTGTAATATAATTCCCTTAGCATTACGATGTCATTATTGCCTCATTCAACTATGTCTAATTCAGTACCGTGCTGTATACAGAATATATTATATGTACAGCTACTCATGCACTCCATAGTGTACAGTATTTTTTCATTTTCTAAACACTTTAACAAAAATTCTAAGGAATTCTAATTTTTATCCAAATGAAACCCATCAGCTCTTAGATTTATTTATGAAATTCATCACTCGCTTTCATTCATTGACCGTAACACCGTAAAATAGGATAATGACGTACTCAGTACCTAAAACAAGCATGGATCATTAAAAGAGGGTGAATAATTTTCTCAGCAAATACAATTTTTATTATGAACTAATTAATACTTACGGAACTGAACACTTGTAGATTCATGGGACAAAATTTGCCAACTGTCAATGAGCACGGCTTGTAGGACCTCATGACCATTATGGTCATTCCCTGTCTCAGTGCTCGACCATTTTCATCGCACGGTAACTTGTACCATTTGCATCGATACGCAGCTTCCCCAATAGCGGCGCTGGCTTCAAATATTTCATTGCACGAGAAAGCAAAGAGGCCTGTTTCAACCAAAGTAGTCACAATATATTCTGCACTTAGAATTTGACGATGGAGTTTCGAAGTTCCATCTCCCTGTAAACAAAATATTTCAGTTTCAAAGAAAAATTTGTATGACGTTTGGCTCTGTCAGAACAATATTCTTCGAGCGATACATCATTGCTGTGTTTCGTTTTGTTTTTGGAGATTGCTAAGAAAAACTTTTTAGTGTGTAGAAGGGTGTTTCTATTTTTGAATAAATACCTCTGTATTAACAGGCTCCTTCAATTACCTTTTGTATATAGCACTTATTCACATAACATAGATTGTTCGATAATAATTTTTCTGTGCTTTGGGAAAAGGATGAAGGAGCATTAATTATTGGAATGCTACTTAGTCCTAGGACAACACCTATTCCTCTGATGATAATGAAAAAAGACACTTACCAAAATGAATTGAAATCCAGAAAAGCAGAGTATTATGACGATACATAATACGAGCATTAAGAATATGTAGGAGAATAAACTTTCCAGTTTACCCAAATACCCAATTAGTAGTTCATGTTGCACGATGCACTTTTTGAATTTTTCGTATGCAAGCTTAGCATCATTATCACTATATGATGATTTTGTGATTAAAATTTTTAGTTCTACCTCGCACACATTCTCTAACTCTCGTTGCAAGATTTTAAAGTGGCCGGAAACGAAGGTGCACGTGTAGAATAGATACGAGGCGAATGCTACGCTGCACAGACCTACACTAAATGCTCCAATCACCTAATGGATATTATTTATGTAAACAACATATCAATAATTTAAGCTTGTTATCAGTGATTATATTAACAATAACTTGGGCGTTTTACTGTTTGGTCTATCTTTCTTGTATAGAGTACACAAATGAGTATCAAGTGGAGTACCACAAAAAGTAAAATTTATATACGTTAAGTAAAACTAAAATTATGTCACTGTTACGAGACTGTTACAGTTTGTTTTATTTATAACTTTTATTATTATTATATTTCCCACGAGACTTACCTCAATAACATATGATATCTCATAATATGGGGTCACTGTAAGTGGCAAGTCGAATACTACTCGAAACGGTAACGTTCTCTCAGTGGTATTTGTTCCTACGGCATCTAAAATATATAAATATAGTTCAGTTCTTACGCAGGAAACAAATAATTTCTACTCGAGCTAAGACATCGATTTATTCTGTAATTACTATTCGTTCTTGTCGGGTGCTGAATAGTAATTACGCATTAAAATTATTTTAAACGTTTATTGTTTTATTCGTGAATTATCTGTTAAGATAAATAGTTGAAGACTTACCCCAGTATGGTCCCGTCAAATAATGAATTGCAACTATGGTTGCTAGTACAGATAGTACACACATTCCAATGGCACTTGTACTATCGCACTTGTCCAATATTGCTTTATCCAGTTCATTGTAATCCTTATTCCAAAATGTATCTTCAGTAAATTTGTGCAGTTCATACAGTTCACGACGCTTGTACGTGAATATCAGTAATTTTACGAAATCATATGTCACGGCGAAGGAACATGGTGCATTATAAGTGAGTGCCTATAATTGCATCAAAAATCTGATAAGCACAGAGATTTCCGCAATATATGATAAGACCAAGTCTTCACATAAATCAAACGCAATATCAAAAAGTGACAAAATCGGCGAAACACTGCTTACATAGAGATCGTTCCGTGAATAAATTAAATCCGAATTTTCTACAAATATTGCGATTAAAACCGTCGCAAATATATAAACCAATAACCCGTCTATTAACAACTGTTCACGTTTAGTTTTACCGCGTTTCATACCAATAAGTGTTATTAGAATTTGCGATATCTTCGTCGACGTGTAACCTTCTATCAAATTCGACATTTTTCTTACTGCTTACGATGCGACGACTGTCCTATTGCAGCCAAGAATACGAAACGTAATGCATGCGACGTAATGCATGAAATATAAAAGCGACTTCCGCTTCTCCTGAATCTTTTATTTCTTTATTTCTTTCAGCCCCACTTGATCCAACCGTCAGTAACGTAGATTTGCATTATCAATGAAGTTTTCACTTTGAACTCGTATGACACTTTGATCAGTTTAATCTCTTTGATATGTTTATTAAACCGAACTCGTCGTTACCGTGTAATTTTTTTTCTTCATCATAAAATTATCAACGATCCCTTGCATCCTTAGCTATACACCGTAACTGAAAGCATGCCTATTACACCATATAGATAACTCCAGAAATAGAATAGTCATTATCACTATTCCTTGTAAAACACCATTAAAGTTACTTGGATAAGAAATAGTGAAAATTGAGAGGGAGATAAGAGACCACAGAGCTATTTGTAATTCTTTTATAATTCCCTATCAAATATTATATTTATTAACACTTTATATTTCTGTAGAGTTCCGTAAAACGATTATTGCAATTACTAGAATTGAAAGGCAATTTTATAAATACTGTAATATAATTCCCTTAGCACTACAATGTCATTATTGCCTCATTGAACTATGCCTACTAAGTCAGTACCGTGCGATATATGTAGAATACATTATACTCATGCACCCCATAGTGTACAGTGTTTTTTCATTTTTTAAACACTTTAACAAAAATTCTAAGGAATTCTACTTTTTATCCAAATGAAACCCATCAGCTTCTAGATTTATTTATGAAATTCATCACTCGCTTTCATTCATTGACCGTAACACCGTAAAATAGGATAATGACGTACTCAGTATCTAAAACAAGCATAGATCATTAAAAGAGGGTGAATAATTTTCTCAACAAATAGAATTTTATTATGAACTAATTAATACTTACGGAAGTGAACACTTCCAGAGTCATGGGACAAAATTTGCCAACTGTCAATGAGCACGGCTTGTAGGACCTCATGACCATTATTGTCATTCCCTGTCTCAGTGCTCGACCATATTCATCGCACGGTAACTTGTACCATTTGCATCGATACGCAGCTTCCCCGATAGCGGCGCTGGCTTCAAATATTTCATTGCACGAGAAAGCAAAGAGGCCTGTTTCAACCAAAGTAGTCACAATATATTCTGCACTTAGAATTTGACGATGGAGTTTCGAAGTTCCATCTCCCTGTAAACAAAATATTTCAGTTTCAAAGAAAAATTTGTATGACGTTTGGCTCTGTCAGAACAATATTCTTCGAGCGATACATCATTGCTGTGTTTCGTTTTGTTTTTGGAGATTGCTAAGAAAAACTTTTTAGTGTGTAGAAGGGTGTTTCTATTTTTGAATAAATACCTCTGTATTAACAGGCTCCTTCAATTACCTTTTGTATATAGCACTTATTCACATAACATAGATTGTTCGATAATAATTTTTATGTGCTTCGGGAAAAGGATGAATTATTGGAATGCTAATTAGTCCTAGGACAACACCTATTCCTCCGACGATAATGTGTGATGACACTTACCAAAATTATTTGAAACCCAGCAAAGCAGAGTATTATGACGGCACATAATACGAGCATCAACAATATGTAGGAGAATAGTCCTTCCAGTTTACCCAAATACCAAATTAGTAGTTGATGTTGGATGACGCACTTTTTGAGTTTTTTGTATGCAAGCATAGTATCATTATTGTTATATGATGATTTTGTGTTTACACTTTCTAGTTCTACCTCGCACACGTTCTCCAACTCTCGCTGCAAGATTTTAAAGAAGCCGGAAACAAAGATGCACGTGTAGAATAGATACGAGGCGAACGCTACGCTGCAAATACCTATACTAATTGTTCCAATCACCTAATGGATATTATTTATGTCAGCAGCATGTCAATAATTTAAACTTATTATTAGTGATTAAACATATAAAT